CGTGTTATGTGCTGTTTTTGTTATGTTCACCAACGCACGAACGAAACTGTTAATGTTTTTCATATTATGCAGAAAAGCATGGCATATGATTCGAAAGTTTTTATGTACGTACAAAATTTTTTTTAAACGGCGAGTGGTAAGAAAAGATGTGCAGTTGCTCGACGGACATGCAAAGAAATCAGTAAAAGAATTGATTGAAAGGCTAGAGCCAGGGGTTGAAGACTACACGTTGGTTGACGGTAGCAAAGATAATCTTCCACCCTTCTCCCCTTCGACCCATTACGTACAGTCAACCATTCATCAGTTATCTTTTAATGTTTGTCATTCATTGAGCGTCTTTCTTACCATTCGTTGGATATAACTTTTCCAATATGCTTTGTCTCAATTCTGAATAAGATATCGCTAGACAACGCATAAGTTCGAGACAAGATTTCACGGCGTATTGCATAACTCCTTTGCCCTTAGTTGCCTAAAGGCGAGAGAGGGAGGGCATTTGAGAATGTTATTGCTCCAGGGTATTTGGGGACCTGTAGTGCCAGATGCGTCTCGTATCGTTTGCCTGCTAGAGCCGCCTCCCTCTAAGCTCGAACAACGCTTCCGGAACTGTTTATCATGTGCTATCGCATAAACATGCATACTGCTTGTGTAAATATGATCTTGCTGCTGGACTACTTTGATGTCGGAAGCCGAAGCATGTTAAAAAGAGCGGAGAATCTGTGTCGTACTTAGACATTGTTTTGTTGAAAAGATGGATTATTCACATTTTGCTTGGCGCGTGTTGAAAATGAATTTCCAGAGACATGTCGTAATGGTCAAAAGGTTCACAGTCAGAGTTTGTGGACTTGCATTCAAAAGACTAAGGTAAAACTATTGAGCGATTCATTCGCTTTCCATTAATCGGATTTGCATTTTCTAGAAAGGAAGCAGGAATCTGCTAGTTTTGCGTGCGACAGGGAGTCGTCGATCGACCCCGCTGCATAAATATGAAAGAAGGGTGCTCTGTGTACGTTGTCTTTATCGAAGGAGAAAGATTACGAAGATTATCTTCGCTTCTGTGTTTAAATTGTCCTATGGCTACCCACGCAACAATCGGCTAGAGCGGCTGCAAGCACATCTGTTTTGTTGCCTGCTACAACCACAAGCCTTATGTCAGTACTTTGTTGAAGGGACATGAATGGTGACAGAGAGTAGCGAACTCTGTAGAGAAATAAATATCTGACGAGAGAAGCGCTCGTCTATCCGGGAAGACTGTCACCCGATCGATAGCATGCATATGGCCACCGGATCATTAACTATAGATGTGCTGTTTTGGTCAGTTTGGGAAACTTCAACTAACAGTAGCCGCCACTGGTTGTTCGGTTTCCGTCGACCAGTTAATTCAAACCCGTTTAAGTTCTATACTTGCTTCTCTCCCTCCCATGCTCTCTCTTATGCCCTGTTCACTTTCTGCACGTAGTCAGTTTCGACTATGCTCGTTTCCTAGTAACTGACAGTAGTAGTGGTTTCATATTTCTTTCGTATTGAGTTCAAAATTGGTATTTAATTTATTTACATGGGATTTGCATAAAATTCTTCAATATATGATATTTTCTTTATTATCGGTGTTATTCTCCTAAAACAGGTTTATAAAGCAAGGACCAATAAAATCGACCCCATCTACTACTGTTCCTTGTTATCTGAAAGTAGTCTGAGAGACTCTGAGTCATGTTTTACTTGCGAAACTGATCAATATTTCTGTTTTACTCTTGTGGAAGCTTGATTCTAAAGTAGAGTTCATGGTCGAAATTGAACGCTTTCGTAACAGCTACTCGATGCATATGATTTTCGATCACTCCTAGACTGGTATCTCTCAACATGAATGACGGGCAGCATCGATTATTAGAAATATTTCAATAGGGTATCGATCAAGAAGGTTGGCAACGACCTCTGATAGAGTCACTGTCAGACGCGAATCAATATCTATTCTCATGACCGTAGTCGGTGAATGGTCGCTTCGTCGACGATGGCAGACTGCTGCTTACCGAGGTACTTCATCATCTTAGCTAAACGGCTACATTTCATTGCTCAAAATAATTTTTATCATAGTTACTAATAGAAATAATTTTCATGAATTATGGTGCAGTTGTTGATATATGATTGGTTGCTTGCTATATATTATGTTGACTTTTATGACGTTGACGAACCAAATGGCTAAACTCAACTTTTATATGATTCTTACTTTCAAACTGTTTACTTGGTTGTGTGAAGTGCTTTGAAATTCAATCCGTTCAGCACTGACGTTAGCAATAATATGATACCCTTAACAAAGAAAACCTCATTATTTTATGAATGAATGATCATGGCGTTTCGACTGTTGCTGATCCATAATCAAGAAAATTTGAGTGAAGTAGGCACGCTTTCCTAAGGAAATATCCAGGGAATCTAAGCACAGGTTTTGAACTAAAGTTCATCCACCTATATCAAATGCAAGTAAATATTTTCTTTGCTGAAAGCATTATAAACACGGTTTATTTATACATACCGCAAACAACTGGTCAGTCGATTTCCAACACAGACATTTCAATCTGTGTTTGCTCTTCCACAAGGTAAAGAGGTTGGTTGAATTTGGAAGTCCTTTCAGTCGTTAGCACCTATTAATACTTTCGAAGCCAGAAGGTCCATGCTGTTGGTTAACTGGCGACGGACGACAAGATCCATTCAATCCGCCCAGTAGAGTTCCTGTGCTTTCTATTTGTTGACGCTATTGCCGGACTGGATGATTAATGCCTTCCTGACACGCCTTTCCTTTCAGGGTCTTTCTTTGATGATACCGATACACTCTAACATCAAGGGGGGGGGTCATCTTTGCTGTTCCGCATGCTGTAGAATCCCTGAACTGTTTTCGCTTTTTTCGTTGGTTCGGTTTGGTATGGGGTTTACTTTTGTCAAAGACGCTTCGTGTCGCTCGCGCGCATCTTCGTTCATTCATCTTGACTTAACAGGTGGATCTTTGTTCTTTCAGTAACTGTGTTTTTTCTATATTGTCTTGCCCCCTGTTACATGCTAATTTGTTTATCCAAACTAGTGGTAGAAGAATAACGTTGATTTAATTGTACTTTATTCCGTTCTAAAAGTGAGCTTTATTAAATCTCCTGGTGCAAATTGTCATATTGTTGCCGTTCTGGTAGGTACCTTTGCCAGAATCAAATAATCGTTGTGATTCCGTTCCAACTCTTCCTTATTCGTAGCCATTTTGAGTTATGCAGTTTCTGGCAAGACTTATGAAACGAAACAGTACTTGCGTTTAGTCAGTAATGTTCTTCACCGTTTATTTGTGATCAACAAGCGCCCAGATTGTTTGTACTGTCATCAAGACCCAGGGCTAACCGTAAGCTAGCTTCACTACGGAGTTACCCAGATGTTCGAATCGCTTAAAGCGGTGACTCGGTGTTGCATAAGGCGCTACGCATTGTTGCCGCAGATTTCCAGTCATCCTCTTCACCTCCCTAGGCAGCAGCTCATACTGAATAGTAGAAGTGTACAAAATAGTAAGCGGAAAGCAGTACACTTGGGACATATACATTTGGTTGTGAATGAAACGGCAGCCGTTTTTGTACAGCTTCCTATTTTTGATGAATAAAATATGCATTAATACGCCATTCGAATTAGTTTTCCCTTCGGAAGAGGGCGAGTATACCAAATACATGTTGTTTGCTTCCGTAATGCGCAATATCCTTGCTGTCCTTATAATCGATGTTACAGTGATCG